CAACATCGACAAAGTCCTGCGCCTGCCACGAAATGTGCATTTCAAGGCCCACAAAGTAGCATTTCAAGGTCCACAAAGTACTGCACCTGCCACGAAACACGAAAAACAAAAAAACCCTTAAAAAAAACAAAAAATCCTAGATTAAATCCGAGCCCTTGAGTAACGCTGAGGCCCAACCCTGACAACGGAAAAGCCAACTGGAATTAGTTTGGAGAGTTTCTGGCAAGTATGACCCGACGTGAAAGAGAACATGCTCAAATTCAAACGGGTCAAAGATTTCAACGCAGGACACGAGGCCGAAATCCGACGAATGGCTACACCGCAGAGTGCCTCTCCAGGACCCGATGCATCTATATGGGATCAGGTGCACCGCCTCTGACAAGTCTCTATCATTGATGTAAAAAGCTTTTTATTTCAGAGACCCGCTTCAAGGATTGCCCTCGAAGAAGGCAGAAGGCAATTACAAGAATTCGATATTCGAGAACGAAAACAGATTGGCCGTCAAATATGCCTGGAACACCTGCTGTGAAGTGCATAATTCTTTTTTGGGCGCGCCTGGCGCCTCAGCCTCTCAATCTGAAGGCCTTGCTCACATTATAGAAACCATTCCTGCCTTCACGGCAGGTCCACATTTTCCATCCGCCCCTTTTGGTCATTTGTTTCCCCCGAATGGTTCTGAAAAAGAACGGCTGCCAACTTCAACTGTCCAGCCATCATTGTCATCGTCATCGTCTTCATCATCGCAACCATCGCAAACATCTTTGTCCTCAGTACCATCCTCACCAGCATCATCATAATAGTCATCGTCGTCATCGTCATCATCGTCATCGCGTCACATCATCGTCATCATCTTCATCATCAGTGTGATCCTCATGTTGAGTGAGCCTCAGTGTCCCTCTTGGTTTCATCATCACAATCATCATCACCTTCGTCATCATCATCATCATCATCAGCATCATCGACAGCGTCTCACATGTGCAGAGACGCAGGTGAGGTGACTGCTTTAACACGCCTGCGGTGATTTTTGCTTACAGCTGTTGACTTAAAGAGTGCTTACGCGCCGATGTGCATATACAGGTGTGGCCATGAAGATGTTGAGTGTTCAGACAAAGGTGTTGAGATGCAATGTAGTTTACATCTACAAAAACCGCCGACGCAACCGCAAGTTTTAAATCTTTCTGAAAGGCTTTAACCTTTTGAGGGTTGGCTTCACGAGGTTGTTCCCGTAACGGTGTGCAATTCGAAGCATCGAGGATCGAGGCTCAAGGATCGAGAACCGCGAAGCAAGTAGCAGTAGTGTCACTAGTGGTAGTAGTACTACTAGTAGTGATAATGGTGATCGTGGTAGTAGTGACAGTATAGTCGTCGTCGTAGAAGTTCTAGTGCTAGTAGTGGTAGTAGTAGCAGTAGTAGTAGCAGTAGTAGTATGGTAGCAGTAGCAATAGTAGTAGTAGTAGTAGTGGTAGTAGTAGTAGTAGTAGTAGTAGTGGTAGTAGTAGTAGTAGTGGTAGTGATGGAAGTATTAATAGAAGTAAACGGCGCAATCGTTCCAGTATACTAGTAGAATCAAGAATGGAGGTTCGAGGGTCGAGGATCGCGACTCGAGAATCGAGCGGTGGCAGCTGTGCTACTAGTGGTAATGAAAACAAAGTCGAAGTCATAGTAGGAGCAGCGGTCGTCGTAATAGCAATATAGTGATAATGGCGGTGGCAGCGCCAGTGGTAAGTAGTAGTAGCAGTAGCAGTAGCAGGTAGAGCAGTAGCAGTAGTAGTAGTAGTAGTAGTAGTAGTAGTAGTAGTAGTGGTAGTGGTAGTGGTAGTGGTAGTAGCAGTAGCAGTAGCAGTAGCAGTAGCAGTAGCAGTAGCAGTAGCAGTAG